AACCAAATGTCTTTCTACTGCTTTACACTTATTAACTAAGTTTGCATAATCTCAAATTTTGAGAGTAATAACTACCCTATGAATATCCAATCGTAGACCGGCTTCAAACTTCCTTGTCTTTCAAGACTCATCTAGGCTATTAATGGGATAAGAGGAGTACTTTGATAATTCTTCAAACTTTATGACATATTAATCTATAATTATAATTTCTTGAACCAGTTTGCGACTATCATGGCAAATGTTAATAGGACTTGATTCCAAAAACGCACATAAATAAAATAAATATTTACAAATAAATTACTGAATAACATCAATGGAATATAAAATCCTCAAATAATTGGATTTATAATTATAAGAACTGATCAGAATAATTTACAAATGTGGACACACAGTCTACGAGGGTAACTAACCAAACATGACTTATGCCACGAAAACAAATGTGAACACATAGTCTACGAGGATAAATAACCAAATGCAGCCGAAGCCACGAGAGTGAACGACCGAAACTTCTCACCTTACATTACCAACATCACAAAGGAGAAGAAGAGGAAATTTGGATGCTGAATAGGGGAAGCAAATGTCCAACAGTGACGCTTCACGAGAAACAAAAAGAGTCTGTAACTTTGCCAAGCTCCTACTAGGTGCAAAGGAATGAAGATTCTAGCAATGAAAACACTAAGCATACAAACTGAACACCTTGCGAAGCTGAGCCAATTGTGACTCAAAACAAAGGAGTCATTTGGCACAGTACACAGGGGAGGAAAGAAAACGACTTCAACAATACCAGACCAAGCAAGAAAATCTCACGATCAGCACTACCATTACCAATGACTTGATTTATCTCGCCCATCAGTGATGTGAACAAGGACGATGAAGATAACAGCAAATAAAGAAGATAAAGACAGGAAGCATGACTGAGGACCTGGCATCGTTCGGGAGTAAAGAGCTCCCATTTCGCCGACGATAAAGCTAAGATAATAGAGAGAGAGGCAGAGTCAGGAAGCACACGACGAACGAGTCCATATTGATCTCTGACTCTATCTATAACTCGAAACAGAATCAAAGAAAGAGGAGGAGAGATGGTGGCTCGAAGCCCATGCAACAATGACAGGAACTCTCTCTCTCACTCATACACCTCAAGCAGTTGAAGATGGCAGGGGAGAAGAAGAAGATAGACGAAATGGGGAGATTTTTCTAGACTCCTCTAATCCTCGAACATCATCCGAAAAAGGAGAGGAAAATAGAAAAAAAAAATCACGAGCTCTCCCTCTCTCTTTTGCCTGTTGCACTGACTTAGAAGGTCAAATAAAGTCAAATAATATCTCATGGAAAAATTTACAAAACAAGACACAAAATTTGTTGAGAAAATTTCAAAAGAAGACCCTATCAATTTTTGTTATTATAATATTTCTATAATAAAAAGTAAGGAATCTTTAGTACTTTTTCATAAAAATAAACTAACATTTGGCTAAAGTAAAATTTAAACTTTAGACCTTTATGTAAATATTCAATATAAATTCTAATATATCATTGCTCTTTCTTTATCATAAAATTAAAATTAATTATTTATCAATTGGAAGGAAATTTATTTAATTTAAATTTTAGAGTCATTACTTATCTGGTCTGGAGTAGGTGGTAACAGGGGATCCCATATTGTTTTAGAGCAGATGTAGGTATCCGCTATTGCTTGAATCGGTCCATAATCTGACACTATGATTGCTATCCAATCAATTTTCATGACAAACCTCTCTGTTGGCATTTGGACACATTATGAAGATAATTAAATGAGAATTTAAATTTTTAGTAAGATTTTTACCTAAGAATTAATAATGGTCCAGCTGCCTTGAGTGCAAAAAAAATTATAAAAAAACTTGGAGCATAACATGAATAATTAATTACATTGGCCAACAATACTAAAATGATTGTCAAATAACTGAAAATAAACACTTTCAAAATCGACCATAACTTATCATAAGAAACTATACAAGGGTGTCTCCTAGAATGAATTCCATTGGGTTTATCTAGAATCTTCTTCCATAAAAAGAATTCCCTTGGGAATATATATATATTTATATATATAAGTAATGATTTTAATCCTAATAGTTATAATACCAAAAGAAATGTTAGCACAATAATTAAATAATTATCATTAAACTAAATATTAAAAAAATGAATATATATATATATATATATGTCTAATAATTACAAGGAAAAATAAATGTTAATTGAGTAATTAAAATAAATTTAAGAAGTTAATGCATGATTTAAATAACTATTGCTACTACTAAAACATATTAATGTGTGTGAGTGAAATAAATACTAATTATTTATCTAATAAAGTAACTGATATAAATAAATTTAAGCAGATAATGCATGGTATATAGAACAGTAAACAAGCAATTATAAAAATAACTAAACATGACTTATTATACTAAATGAACAAATAAATAATTATTACTTAAAACTAAAACTATAGGTACAAGTAACAAATTAATTTTAAATGAATAACTATATAATAAATAAATAATTATGCTTTATAAAAAGAATACAAACTAACTATATGTGTGTATATTTAATTTTAGATAATCATGTATGTATATTCTTGGAAGCACAAGGTACAACTAGTACTCCTAGCATGTGAGTAGGGTCACTGTTTGTAATTTTCTCCTTTTTTTACACCTTTTCTCTCCTCACATAAGTCTCTCTCACACAGGCATGCATGTTCCATTTAGTCTTTATTATAAGATACTTTAAGTTGTATATTAAAAAAATTAATATCATATCATAAAAAAGTGATATATACTTTTATTTTTATCTTTAATTTTAAATAATAATACAATTATATTAAATACATTTACGTTAATCAAAAAAAGATAATATTAAAAAATAATTTAATTATTAAAAAGTATCTTATATTTTGAATTAAAAATTATTTTTAAAAGATTTCTATAAATAGAACCAGTATATATTATAAGAAGCATAAATTAAAGCTAGAACCCCTAACATGTGAGTGGAGTACTTGTGTGCAATTTACCTCTTATTTTCTTGTCATCTTGCTTTACTCGTTGAGCACCCAACAATAAAAAATGAAAATTATATTTTATTTTAATCTAAAAGTGTGGGTGGTTATGTGACTAGAATGCGAGCACTAAAATAATTAATAATAAATATTTAAAAAAATTTTGATAGAAATTAAATAAAAATATTTGTTAAAAAAATAATGAAAAGATAAGAAAAAAGTTTAAGAAAAATCTTATTATATTTGCCTTTTTTTTTCACATCTTTACTTTCAAGATTTTGTGTCACTCTTTTTTGGTAAATAATTTTCACCTCCTTTCACTTAATCATTTGATTATTTATCGAAAAAGATAAGAGAAACAAGTAGTTCATAATTTATCACTCACTAAACCCTAATGAATTCATCCAAATTATAAAAGCATTTTTTCATCACAAATTCATTTATATTTTATTTTTATTTAATATTTTATGTCTTCACGTGCTCCCACCTCTCTTTCCTTCTTCCTTCTTTCCCTCTCCCTCTCCCTCTAATTTGACATATCTCTCTCCCTTGACCTCACTTTCCTTCTTTCTTCCTTCTCTCTCTCTCCCCAAAGTTGTCGCATCTCTCTCCCTTCACCTCACTTTCCTTCTCTCTCCCCAAAAGTTGACATAACTCTCTCCTTTGACCTCACTTTCTTTCTTTCATCCTTTTCTCTCCCTCCATGTCTCCCCCACAATTTGACACATTTCTCTCCCTTTCACGTATATGGAAAAAATAAGCAAAACTTCATTATTATAACAACAACAAAAATGATTAAAGTTTAAAATCATAAATAACAATAAATAATATAGTTTAATACGAGTGGACAAAGCGTCCCCATCTAATTAATATTCGCAATTCATCATTCATTAGTGGCTGGGTGCGTACATATATAATTTTTAGAGGAAACCCGTCAGCCAATTACTCGTGCGGTTTGCTTCAGTGCTTGTAAACTTCGAGATACGAGCTCGATCACCGATTGGCATAATTATAAAAAAAAAAAAAAAAAAAAAGAGGAAACGAGTCAAACGACACTTGGTGCCAAAAACAATTGCAAATATTCCACGAAGTCGAGCAACAAATGTAAATAAATAAAATAACAAAAAATAATGAAATTTACATGAAATATATTCAATAATGTAATGTAATAATTAGCTTCATATTTAATGGTTGATATTAGAAAAACAATGAGCTTAGTTTTCCTTCCAATAAATATAAGAGAAAATTAATTCCAAAGGCCTTACAGTTTTGTTTGATTTTAAATTAGGTTTTTATAATTTACTTTATTTTAATTAAAATCTTATATTTTGATTCATTAAATATGTTAATCCTTTACATTTTTATTTAATATTTTTGACTAAAAAACAAAATTTGATTTAATTAAATATTTAAAATTTTGTTAAATTTTTTGAAAGAAATATCTAATTATATAAATTTTAATTTATTAAAATTATGTAATTAATTTTAAAATTACATATATTTTTACAATTTAAAAAATTTTTAATTTTAACTGTTTAAAAATTAAAATATTTTAGTTTTAAAATTTAATGGATAAAATTATAAAAGCTTGATTAAAATAAATTCAACTACAAAAAATTAATTTAAAATTAAAAAATTACAAGAACTTGTAAATTAATTTTCTTAAATATAAATAACCCAAAATTGTGGGGACTCTCCAACTTTCCAAGAGCCTGGGTCAGGAAAATGGTCAAACATTAGGGCCAAATATATTAATGTTCTCGAAACTTTTCCACGAAGCTGCTTTATATTTCCCTCCTCTTCGTGATCATTGTTCGTGCACAAGCATGTGAGTCTCATTGACTTGTGCATTTTCAGTTCTTGCCGAAAGAAGTTCTGGTTGAATCCTTGTCAAAAGAAATTCAAGCTTCCAACTTGGTAAAACCTTCCTCCATGAGTTTTTCCACACACATCATGGTTGAATCCATTGTTCTTGACACTGAGATTAATAATTAATAAATATTTTAATTTATTATTCTTCAAAATTTCCATACACTTTATGGTTCATCATTTCTTCATGGTTTGTCCATTTTCGCTTTCTATAATGCTAATATTTTGTTAGAATTTCACATTTTTTGCGATGAACTCTCCACTTATCTCGTGCGTCCTCGTAAACTTCTCTTCTTCTTAGGGTCTTCACAACATCTCTGTTTCTTCATTTTGGACCTCAGTCGAATCGATTTATGTCGTTTGTTATGCACTTACGTTTGCTGATTCTTCGTTTCATGCTAAGCATGTTGTTCAGTTATTGTTGCCGTGCTTCAATTGGAGTTATTGGCTTTTATGTAGCCTTGCTGGTAATTTCTTAATTCAATTGTTTTTGAAATAATTTGATTAAGAGGTTTTTGTGAGAGGAGGTTTTGGACGCGTCTGTGTGAAAGTGAGATAACACAGATAGTTATTCCATCCTTGAAGATTGACTTGGAGGGAAGGTAAGAGCAAACGATTTTTTAATTTTCAGAAGTATGAACCCACATCTTCACTTTTTCCCACTTGCTGTAAAACTTGAGTTTCTAAACCATCTCACAAGAAAGGGCTTTGTGTTAAGATTATTTTTGAATATATTTCCCACAAATTCAGGTAATTTATTGTTCTTTGTCTTTCTTTTCTTGTTCGTTTATTTAGAATCTTCATATTTTTTATCCATCTCCAATTAATCCTACTTCTATCCCTACACTAGAGTAAGGGGTTGCAGAATTCAAAGCACCAATCTGCTGTGGCCAGCCAGCCATCCCAATACCCGTGTATATAACTGATGTATTCAATTATCTATTAACTCGAATAATGATTCTTTGGTTGGCTCATAATCCACAAGTTGTAGGATCAAATCTCACTATTGATATGAGGATCTTGTTGGTAAGTGATTTCTACTTCAATAAGTACTCTTTGAGGTTGGAGACATGCCTGGTCTAGTGAGTCCACGATGCTCAATTCTCAACCAAAAAAAAAAAAGGAATAATGGTCCTTTGTGTGTGAGTTCTTTAATGGCAAAGTCACCGAAATTCTTCTTGCACCAATAGCCCGAAGCGCCAATTATAAGTAAAATATGGGAGATTTAAATTACTTGCAACATAAAAATCTTTCTTGACCATTCTTCTCATCCCTTTATTCTCTCCATTTCTCTTTGGTTTGTGTCCCCCCCCACCAATTTGCTGCAACTTTGGAGTCGTACCTTCACATCGAATGTACAAAGAACTTTTATTTTCAAAACGATTCGTTCATTTCAACATATCTCGCTAAGTATAGAATGCAAATGTTTGCGGTGAACAATTTTTTTTTATTAAATGAATATAATTGGGCTTACTTTGAATTTTGAAGGGCTAATATAGTTTGCATATTTAATCCAGATATGGGCATTGAAACATCTTTTAGTCCAAACAGGGCATAACCATTCTACCCTCTGTATTTTTTTTGGACGTAACAAAAACTTCCTTTTTTCTCAAGGGAAATTTTTGCTGGTCTCTGCTTGTAACTGGCTAGCAGGCAGAGCATCAATTCAACAATTTATTCTCTTCATCTTTACTATTTGGATAGTAGATTTTTAATATAACTTGTAAGTTTGAAAGAACCAATCCAACTTCTTCAGTTCACAACTTCACTTTTTCATTGTGGCACTTCAGATCTTCAATCTCTATTGTAAGAGTGATTCCAAGCTAAGATGATAGTGTCTTCCACTTCCTTCAACTATCAATGGAAATATGATGTCTTCCTCAGTTTCAGAGGTGAAGATACACGTAATGGTTTCACTGGTCATCTTTATTTTGCTCTTTGTGAGCGTGGAATTGGTACCTTCATAGATGATGGAGAGCTTAGAAAAGGGGATGAAATTACGCCAACACTTTTTGAAGCAATTGAACAATCTAGGATGGCCATTATCATATTTTCTGAGAACTATGCATCCTCAACATTTTGCCTCAAAGAACTTGTCAAGATCTTACAATGTATTAAGGGAAATGGGCGGCTGGTTTTGCCAATTTTTTATCATGTGCTACCTTCTCATGTGCGATATCAAGAAGGCAAGTATGAAGAAGCATTGGCTTTGCATGAAAAAAAGTTGAAGGCTAATCCGGATGTGTTGAAAAGTTGGAAGAGTGCATTACATAAAGCAAGTAATATATCAGGTTTTCACTTCACTGATAGGTAATTCACAACTTCTGTCTCCTATTTTATGTCATATTGCATGTTTAGACACTTCATGTTAAATGTCTTTAAAATAAGGTAAAATTATTTGGTTATGTTTGAATTTAGTTTGATTTGAGATGAAATTTTGTAATAATGTGAAATTTGTAATTTGCCAGGCATGAATATGAGTATCAATTCATTCAGCGGATTGTGAAAGAGATCTCTGGTAAGATCAATAGGACTCCTTTGCATATTGCAGACTATCCGGTTGGATTGGAGTCTCGAGTGTTAAAAATTAACTCTCTTTTAAAACTTGAGTCTGATAATGAAGGCAAAATGGTAGGAATATGGGGAATTGGGGGAGTTGGTAAAACAACAATTGCACGTGCTGTATACAACTCAATTGCTGATAACTTTGAGGGCTTATGCTTTGTCCATGATGTGAAAGAAAATGCAAATAAATTAGGCCTTGAACAAATGCAAGAGAGAATGCTTTCAAAAATTTTAGGGGTCGATATCAAGGTGATGGATGTTAATGAAGGAATTGCAGTAATAAAACAAAGACTCGCTCAAAAGAAAATTCTTTTGATTCTTGATAATGTTGATAAAAGAGAGCATTTGGAAAAACTTGCTGGTGGTTGTTATTGGTTTGGTTCTGGCAGTAGGATTATTATTACAACAAGGAATAAACAGTTACTCAAAAAGCATGGAGTTGAAACAATATATAACATGAAGGAACTCAATGATGATGAATCTTTTGAACTGTTACGTTGGAATGCCTTTAAAGGTTGTAATGTTGATCCATCTTACATGGAAGTTTTGAGTGGTGCAATGCAGTATGCCCAAGGCCTTCCACTAGCCCTTGAAGTAATAGGCTCTCACTTGTTTGGTAAGAGTATAAATGAGTGGAAATCTGCATTAGATGTCTATAAAAGAATTCCAGACAAAGAAATTCAACAGATACTACAAGTAAGCTATAACAGCTTGCAAGAGGTAGAGAAGGAAACTTTCCTAGATATTGCTTGTTTTTTCAAAGGGAAAGAGGTTGAATATGTCAAAGATATGGTGGAATATGCTCATTGTTTTGATCCAAGTTACTGTATGGAAGTATTGAAAGACAAATGCCTCATTAAGATTGAAAATGGTTGTATTAAAATGCATGACTTGATACTTGTCATGGGAAGAGAAATTGTTAATCAAGAATCACCAAAAGAGCCGGGAAAGCGAAGTAGATTATGGTCCCATGAAGATATTATTACTGTTCTGGAAAAAAACACTGTGAGTAACTACAACAAGGTTGATTTAATTTCTTTTAGTCCTTTGATGTACGTAGCACCGCTGTTTTATTCAAAATTTTATCATTTTTGGTAACATATATATTTATTATTACTGTTAGAACAAAATTTGTTTCCTTTATGGTATATGAAACTCCTAATTCTTTTGACTGACCTTAAATATTTTCCTATTAATAGGGTACAGAAAAAATAGTTGCTATAATTCAAGAACATCAGTGTGGAACTGTGAAAGTAAATTTGGACAGAATGGCTTTAAGAAGGATGACAAATCTTAAAGTACTTTTTCTCAAGGAGGCCTGGTTTTTAAATGGTCCTGTATATCTTCCAAGTTGTTTAAGGGTATTGCAGTGGTGGGGATATCCAGCAACTTGTTTACCAGCTAATTTTGATCCTACGAACCTTGCTGTTCTTGATTTGCAGGGAAGTAGGCTACTGCAGTGGTTGGAATCGAAAGTAGTGAGTCTCCTGACTTTCTGTGTTCATTCTTTGTTTCTTTTTATCTGTGTAATCAAGTCACGTGTTAGTTAAAAATTCCACCCTAACTATTTTTTTCCCCCCTGCAGAAATGGGAGAATATGACTATTTTGAATCTAAAGAAATGTCCATTTCTAAGACAGATCCCTGAGGCATCTGGCTTCCCAAATTTAATTGAATTGTCTTTGGAAGGTTGTGGAAATTTAATTGAAATCCCTGATTCAATTGGATTTTTGGAAAAGCTTGAAATCTTTGATGTTGGACGGTGTCACAAGCTTAGGACTCTTCCAAGTGCAATCATGATGCCCAATCTTCTATATCTCGGACTTGAACACTGTTCAAGTCTTGAGAAATTTCCAGAAATACTGGAAAAAATGCAATTTATAGAAAATGTTGATTTGCGTGGTACAAACGTTAAGTTGCCATTTTCAGTTTGTAATTTGACTAGGCTTCAAACTTTAGATATGAGAGAATGTGATAGAGTTGTTCTGCAACCAAGTAGCCTTGATATGTTGCAAGAACTAGAAGTGATATCTAGTAAAGATTGTAGAGAAGACCGAAAAGAAGTGGGCCTCTTCTTGTCTTGTCCAAACGTGGAGGTGATTAGGCTGCCTGGGTGCAATGTTTCCGATAAATTCCTCCCAATTTGTCTTACTTGGTTCGCCAATGTGGAATGCTTATTATCCGTTACTGATTTTTCATTTCTTCCTGCATGCATTAAAGATTGTCGTCTTGTGGAAAAATGTTATCTAGATCATTCAAAACATGTGGGAGAAATAAGTGGGGTTCCACCAAAATTGGAAGAAATGTGGGCACGAGATTGCTTATCAAGAAGCATATTACTAAGTCAGGTTTGATTGTGTTTCATATTTTGACATTTGAGTTCATTGATATTGTAAGTTTCACATAAAATAGTATGGAATGCTCAATGGGATATTTAAGCAGGTTGGTTTTTTCACTTCAACAACTAGTTTTTGGGATTGGGTTCCCCATCCCACTTAAATAACCCATTGAGCATCTCATATTTTTCAATGTGGGACTTGGTATCCCACGCTACTAAGTCTATCCATCAAACGCTTAAGTGGCTTAATATTTTTATTATTGACAGGAACCACTTGATGATGGAGACAAATTATTTTTCATGCCAGGATCGACAATTCGAGAATGGTTGCACCATTACAGCATAGGACCATCCATTTCTCTATGGTTCCGTGATAAGCCCCCAGTGATCTCTCTCTGTTTTGTTAGAAAGAAAATGGTTCTTGATGTTTTATGTGCTGAGGTAATCCTTAATGGCAGAATAACATGTTTCAATGAAGGTGACATGATGAAGGACACTATGATGATCCATTGTTCAATGTTATCAAATTACATGTTATCGAGTTGGGATATGAAATTCACCAACAAACTTGGCACGCTGTTTCTTAGTGAGTGGAATCATGTTGAGATTTGTATCTATGAAGATGTGTGGAGGCATATGAATGAGCTAGGGATCCATGTAAATGAAGAAGAAAGTATCATGGAGGACATTCGATTCACAAATCCGTATAAAAGTTTCAGAATATCAACTTAAGTGGAAATGACATGAGAACTCATAAAGGTAATTGTTATTGTTTGCTCTATAGAGTATCCCACCAAGTAGGATAAAAGCTTGTTGTTGTTGTATAGAGTATTCAGCATCCCTTCTGTCAAAAACACTTTTGAATGTGCACATAAATAATTGTATTAAGATATCAAATAATTAAACTTATTTTGAAACATTCTCACACCTTCCAGCAGAGACTTTAGCCACCCATCAAGTCTAAAAGAGTCTTGAAAATGTCACAAAAGCCAAAGGAAAAGAGATAATAGTCTGCAGAAACGGTACCAGAGAAAATATACCATTGGTACTTTTATGATTTTTTTTAAATATTAACAACAAGCATTTTAGGTATCCAAATAATTAGTCATTGATTAAGAAAGCATAATTAGTCCTTTTTTCTGGCAAAAAAAAAAAAAGAATAGTCATTATTTTCTCGATTGTCTATTCTGTGTTGATTTGGTAGTATTATGAATTATCAGGCTGTTGCCCTTGATATGGATTCCAGACAAATTGATCCCGATGTTCTTTTGAGGCAGATTGCTTCCTATGCGATCCAACCAAACCCCACTCTGATTTTGCTATATCACTCTATCAGTAGAAGACTTGGATCTTAAGATATAACCTGAATAAAATGTATTTAATTTGGGTTGAATTGATGAGTCGTTTTTATAACTTATGGTATCTAATTTATTTTACTTGCTCATAAAATATGACACTAAATCAGAAGAACGTAATAATCCGTGCTTCAAAAATGTGTTCTTTTTTTCCTTTTGCATTCCAGATGACATGTCAAAACTATAGACTTTCCTCAAATTCCACAAGCTTCGTTTGGGATCCAATGGAATTTGAATATCAAGGGTCATGTCACAACAAGCCCCAGGACCAAAATACCAAGATTTGTTAAGAAGGCCAATATAGGATGGTATCCAGATCAAAGAAGAGATCCGTGACCAAATAGGTAACTGCAACATCCTATAAGTTAAAGACTATTATTAGTATCTTTTATTTTATTTTGAAGATTTGAATCAGATTTGCTATGATCTGATATCTAGAATTTAAATTCCAGATTTTGTTTGATTGTAACAAACCCTAGATCTTACTCCATATGTATTCTCCGACGCTATGAATGAAATTTGAAGTCAATTACTCAGTTGAATTGTTCATGGTATTAGAATTTATAGCTGATCCTATAACATCAGGTTTTGGCCAATACGATGCATACAACACCGAAGCTGTTGACCCAAACATCACACAAAATCTATTCTTGGCTTCTTCAGGCTGACAACCCCCAAATGGATCTGTTTCGTCCCAGGATCCTTCGACATTCATCACTGCCCATAAGCTCGACGGTGAAAATTACCTCCAATGGTTTCAATCATTCCTTATGTTTCTCTGTGGATGCGGAAAAGAATTTATTGATGGGTGTGCACCACCTGTAGCTCCTTCTGACTCCAAGGCAAACTGAAAATAGCCAAGTCATGTCTTGGCTTATCAATGCAATGACACTAGATTAAGATATATGGGAGGCCGCATGAGAACTCTAATCATCTGCCTCAAACATGGTTGTTTTGTTTGAAATCAAGGGGCAATTGAATGTGCTGAAGCAGAACAATATGTCTGTGACTGACTACTACAGTGCGTTGGTTCAACTATGGCAGCAAATTGACCTTTATGAGGTCCATTTATGGTCATGGTCATGCAATGAAGATGCCAGGTATTATCAAAAATTCATTGAAACTGAAAGAGTTTATAAGTTTCTATTTGGCTTGAACACAGAATTTGAAGAGGTTAGAAGCAGAAATTCTCTGTTGCTTCCCGCTGCCTTCCATTTATGAGGTTCTCTCTATGGTCAAGCTAGAAGAGAGCCGCAAGCATATTATAGGGGGGGGTTTCATTAACCTGTTCCTCTTGGAGTTTCTGCTCATGGGCCACCAGCTGAAGATGGCAAAGGCAAGAAGGGAAGACACTTGTTATGTGATCATTGTAACAAAGTTGGACATATTGGGGACACTTGTTCTGGAAGATTCATGGGTGCCCTACTCAAGATAAATCAAAGGAAAAGAGAGAAAGCAAAGGCTATTCTATAGCCTTGATAAGTATGAACAAAAGCTTGATCTCAATAAGTTACGCTAACGAGTTGACCAATTGTAGGACCACTCAACACTCATGAAAGACAAAAGTCTCTAAAAGTGAGCACTGCCACCGATTTAGTGGCCACTAAATTGGGTATGATTTCAACTGCTTACACCTCTATACTTCAAGATTCAAACATGTGGATAGTGCATTTGAGGGCTGCTGATCGCATAACAAGTGATATTTCATTTTTTACGGACTTGAGACCATGTTCAGAGAAATGGGCTGGCAAAACTGCAAATGGGAGAATGACAAATAAGGACCCTCAAAAAAATATCAAGGATCTTTTGTAACTGAAACATCAAGAATTTACCATTGAAACATCAAGATTTGCAACTCAAAGGTATTATTTTGTATTAATTTCCTTATAAGGTCTTTATTTGTCATTTTCCCAATTGCAAATGATTTATGTGTTGAAGTTGCTGAAATTAGAACACTTGTTTAATAGCCGGTAATTCAGGCGGAGCCCGACAGACTAGCCCAAGCTCGTCCGAAAAAATTTAGGGTCGAGCTTTGAAAAATTATGATTATTTTATGTTCGGGCTTATTTGGGCCTGAATAGGCTCGAAAAAATTCAGGCGAGTATCCGAATAAAAAAATTATTTTTAGAAAATATGTAAAATATAATAAATATTAATTAATTTTTTAAATTTTAAGTCATTTTATGCTAAAATATCATATATTTGAGTCCTATACATCATTTAAGTATCAAAAATATATATTTTATATTTTTTATAAAATAAAATAAATAATTTTAAAGTTAAAAAATTAATTAAAAATAATTTTTAAAATAAAATTTAGGTATTCGAGTTGCTCAAAGCCCGAAGGAATTTGAGTCAGGTTTAGCTATTTGAGCTTTTTTGAGAATCAAACCTGTTCGGGTTTAGGTTTATTCGAGTCGTGCTTATTCAAGTTGGGCTTGCTGGCCCACCTGAATTCCCAACTGGGTCTCTAGCTATTGTGTTGGATTTGTTTTGTGTTCCTAAGCTGGCTTGCAATCTAATTTCTGCTGGAAAACTTATTGAGTGTTGATTTGAGGATTTGGATGGTGCCACATGTCTCCTTTGGATGACCAATTGATTCAAATTATGCACGGAATTAATTATAAGTCGCCCTACATATGGAAACAAATAAATCGATAGAATACATGTTTGGGAAATTTATGTAATATTTAATAAATTTGAAAAACACATGCAATAAATTCCAAAAATTCTCACAGAACATTTTATTGCCCTCTAATTGCAAATATTAACTAGTTATGCTCAATTAATAAATGAGATAAAAATATAGAAATATTGTAAATTATCAATCTAGGAAGTTGCATTTGACATTTGGTGGGAAAAACTAGATTAATAACATATGTTTTAGTGAGCCTTACTAGTGAATATGCAAAATTTAAATAAAGAATGGGTTGAACAAGGCAATCGTATATTGTGAGACGAGAAAGATATTAATTTGAATAAAAATGATATTTTGAAGAGATTGTAAGCATGTATCTTGTTGGGGACAATACAAGAATAAGATGTGAGTGTGAAAGAACAAGAAGGGAAAGAAGAAGGTCCATCAGCGATAAGTGTAATGGCCTGATCCTCAAGAATCTAGACTAGTTAATCATTTGAAACTTAATATGACTACAGATTAGTTTAATTAGAGTTGCCCAGTGGAGCTATGGTAAGTGGATTATGAGAGACAAGTAGATGCATTTGGACAATTTGAGTCAACTACTGTGGTAATTTGTTGATATTACATAATCTGTCACGATGCACGGTGGAAGGAGAAAATTATCCTTTCAATGTCATTGGCCATAGCAAAAGTTGTGAAAAGTGCAAATGCCATGGCTAATGATGACATTTGTCATAATTTCACCCCTTTTTATGAACCATTTTTCAATTGAAATCAATTCTTTTTGATTTTATTTACTTTTTAACCTTGCTTTATAAAGCTTTTAGATTATTCTTATTTGACTTGAATTCAATTTATTTTTTAAAAATTTTATTTAATATATTTTTTTAAAGTAAGCTTGACCTATTTCTAGTATATTCTTTTTAACTTAAATTTTAATCTTTTTTATTATAGCAGATTTTATATAATATCATGATATATCTTTTCTATTATGATAAGTCATTTTTGGATTATAATTTGTAATAATGCTTTTATTCTAATTATCATAGTAAATCTTTTTCTACTATGATTCATTGTCCTAATATATTTTAAACTAAGTATTTTTTTTAATTTTAATTGTCCTGAATCTTCAATTTTGTTTTTTCTCTACTATGCTTGGCTTATATAACTAAAATTAAAGCTTTTATATCATGGTAATCCTTTCAAATAATTTAATTCTTTGAACTATTATAATAAAATTAATGATTAGTGGAGTAAGGTGTTAAAATTAATAGATTAACTCATGCATTTATGCTCCTTCACTTGTAAATTTAAAAAAGCCTCTTTGTAAATATATAAAAAGTTAATTTTAAATGAATAGATAATCTCGTAGAAAATAGTTAATAGAAATTCACTTGATAATGAATTTAAGGTTACAAGAGACTATCTATTTGTTCATAGCTAACTTTTTACAAATTTAAGAATAATCTTCCTTAGATTTATAATTAATTATTTTTAAATCACAAGTGATGATACATAAATTTAAGGGACTATATATTTATTTACGATTAAATTTTCATAAACTTATGAGTAGCTTTCCTAAAATTTACAATTTACTATTTTTACTAGGATAATGAAACTTTTTTGTCTCCTAACCTCACATTTGCCTCAATTGTTGATTTGATCTTTTAAGTTTAATTTTTATTAACTTGGTTCCTTCTGTTTTCTTATTATTATATAAGTCCTTTAAGTTTTAAAACACAGATTAACTATTAAAATAATTTAATGTATAAAGTCTATTGATAAATTTACATGTATATGTACTTAAATGAGAATAAGTTAACACTTACATTAGTTTAATTTGCATTTATATAATTACTTACACTATGTTTTATTCTCTAATTTTTTAAAATTTTAGTTTTTTTACCTGAATAATTATATTTTTTTTATTAACCGACATAGCTTCCATCAATATTCTATTATCTATGTTAACAAATTTTAATAATGTAATCTTCTTTTTAAATAATAAAGACTAAATTGATAATCAAAGTAGACTTCTAAGACTAGAATGATAAAAATTAAACTTTAAGAATTGAATCTATCACTAAAACAAATTTGAAAGACTAAAACTTATATTATCTCATTTTGAAATTTACATATGATAATGCATAAATTTATGAAATTACAAATTAATTTATAATTGACTTTTCATTCCTTCACAAGTGGCATTTCTTAAATTTATATTTGGCTTTTTTTAAAGGTATAAATGATCTTCCAATACTTATATTATTCATCGGGTGGTAAGGGCAATTTACAAATAATTTTTTTAATTTTTTTTTGATTGAACACTGATGTTATTCAATTTAAGGTGCTATCAGACACTAAATATAAGTATTTTTTTAATGATAATTTAAACCGTAGTTGAATAATATTACGAGAGACTAATCCTTTCCTTAAACCCAATCCATTGGTCATTTGTCCTTAATTCTAATGAGAACTATTGGGTTATGAGGACAATTTCGTAAATTCATTTGTCTTTAATTATTATTAATATTTTTAAAAGTACTTATTTGTCATTTTCCTTGGTTTTCTACATGTACAAGCACAAAAAAAAAAAAAAGATATACGGATAAGAACAGATACTATTTAAAGAAAAGAAAAGAAGGGAGAAAGAAAGAAAGAAGATAGATATGCAGTATTGAACCCGGTTCATTCTGTCAAGTCCGATCTGCTCATTGCGGGACCGGGATGACCCCTAAACCGCCTAGGGCTTCTAACTCCGCACGCCAGTAGCCCACAGAATCATTCCTGCGAAACCTTCGAGAGAAGAGAGGAAGCAACATTGACGATGGCAATGAGATCTGTCCTAAATCGAGGATCGGTGACTCGTTCGATGGAGTCAAGTCGGGGCGCTTTCACTCGCTACTTCAGCGACAAAGGCCGGATTCTTAGTGAGGAAGAACAGGCCAAAGAGAACGTCTACATCCAGGTAATATTGATTTTCTCGACCACTTTCATTCCGTCCTGCTAGGTTGCTGAGAAACCGGTGTAAAGTTTGACGGTTCTGTTTGCTTTGCGAGAAAAAGAAAAGGTTGAGTTTGATCATAATTGTTATACAGGACATTGCGATATTAATATTTAGGTGATTGAGTTTGATCATAATTATTGTCTCTTTTTAGATTGTAAACATTTAACGGGATTAGATTATGTGGCTTTTGCCTCAAATTCTAAGTCAACCTGCTGGGCTTTACCGTTCCAAGAACAAGGACATTTATATGAGTAAATATTTGATGCCCGATCATCTTTTGGGTGAGTATTTATATGTTATATGTAGGTTATATTGTTTTTGCTGTAAAATATTGTTTAAATGTGGAGATGGTTTAACGATTTCTATTCAGATTGTCAAATATTACCTGTGAATTTTTTTTTTTAATGTACTTCGATAACATAATGGAGCTACTATAAACATAAATATCTATATCTATTTGTCTTTAATATTGTTTTTAATTTTCTTTGCTAAGAAATGGGAGAGGGAAAGGATGGAGAAACAGAGGGAAAAGGCTGAAAAAGAAAAGGCTGAGAAAGAGAAAGCAAATGCTGAGAAGGTATAGCTCATGTTCTGTCTGTTTTATTTTCTATGTTTCTATGTTCTCTTTGTCTCTTACTATTGGTGGAGCTTACATAATATTTTTTATTTTAGTTAACAATATTTATAAAAGCTTGATTGATGATAGAGTACAATGTTATTGTGCAATCTATATAGCCAATCCCATCTAGTGGGATAAGGCTTGTTGTTTTGTATCAAGCACGTTAAACTGTTCATGTGATTTTCTTTTGGTCCTTGAGGGTGAAACTGCTCATAGAGGGGCCCCTTTGGTTGCTGGAAAGAAAGCGAGTGAAATGGATTAAAGAAACAGAGACAAAAAAAAAAAAAAGATTAAATAGAGGGGAGATTGGTCAAACATATTCATGAGGAGGAATGATAATTTAGTTTATGAGGTTAGAATTCATGATTCATAAAGTTTTTGGAAGGTGTGACGATTCTCATATTTGTAGTATGTGGTATTAGGTTTTATCATGCTTCCCATATAGTGTAGGGGAGAATAATTTAGTTCATTTTTATACTTATTTTTTTAATCCATTTAATTTCCATCTTTTCCAATAACCAAACAACTCCTTAATTCATTTGAAGGAATGAGTGGTTTGGCATATTGTAGTCATAATAAACTAGGATCATGGTCGAGTAATGTGTCAAATTATGTGTATTTACAATTACAATTCAGAGTGTATAGCGCAGGATGACTACCAAAAGACAATTCAATTTTTTTACTCCCATCTATAATATTCACATATTGAATACTACTTATCTCTTTTAAAAAAGTATAATAATCAGCTACTTGGGTTTAGTTCAAATGGAAGTGGCGGGCTAATTTTTCACTTGTGATGGTTCAAGCCCTTATAATCAGGGATGTACCCACATTGAAGGAAGTGGAGGCAATTGCAGTGACTAAATTAGCAAAAATTTCACTTATCTTCATGTCAAAATTGCATTTTCCCCACCCCTTTAAAATTGCAATTACCCCCACAAAAGATCAATTGCCCTACACTCTCTTTAAAATTATCAAGCATATATATTTAAAGATGTACACTCTTGTTGTATTTATTATGAAAATAAAATTTATGATGCAAATGAAATCAATATATATTCTTAAACTTTCATACACTTTATTTGTATATTTCTTTAATTAATATTTAGAATTATATTTTCTTCAAAAAAATATTCATATTTATATTTGGTATAAATGTTGCCCCAACTAACAAAGTTTTCTGAATTCATCACTGCTTATAATGTGTCGAAAATATGCACGTGCTATACATCCATCTTATTTATATGAACTTTTTAATTACATTACACGGATGAAGAAAAGTGGTAAAATCAATTGATGTTCTTGGTTTTATGATAAATTGTCATGAGATTCCAAAATTACTCTTCATTAAAGTCTCTTTTATTCGAAAATCCAATATATTTCTTTTGCGCAAGAGAGAAAGGGTTATAGTCATGAAGGGTGTATTTCGAAAACATTAATAAATGCTTCATAAGGGGTCTTATGAATATTGATAGTTACTTAAATTGCCTATTTCATTTGTTGAAAATAATAATAGTTATTTAAAGTGGGTCTGTCATTTACATGCTGAAGAGATCAAGTTGTTGGATCACTTATTAATTACCTAAACTAAAATTTCATTCGCTCTTAGTGCTATGTCATGGCTAGTTGGGATTGACATTTGATGCAGCCTGCTGCTTTCCACCTAAGAAAGGGACCCATTCTGATGGTTTTTGTAACTGTTTGCACAGTAGACACTCCAGTGGTCCAACCACTGAATGGCTCAATGATTTACATTTATTGATCCATACAATCTCTCAGTCATAGTTCGTTTGGTTCTTCTTCTCCATCTTTCTTTGTTTTACTTTCATTTTTTTCCATATCATTTTCCCTCTTCTTTGTTAGAAGTTTTATCACTCTATTTCTTTCTTTATTCTCATTCTCCATTTTAAGTTTGACCCAGGGTTCTGGGTTATGCTGCCACAGTGCACACCAAGTGTTTGAAGAATTCTAGAGAATATGACTACATCATGCACTCATTTTTTCAGTTATTTAGCCGTTTATTAAATGTAATCAAAATTTTCAGTGAATTATTAAAATGTGTTCCCATGATGTGCAAGGACAAGTTTTGTAACACATAATGTTATGTGGATGTTTTGATTGAAATAGAAAGGCCAAGAATTTGTTATACTGCCTTAACTTCACCTCAGATAAGGAGGCATTTAATCTATCTTGTAGTTTTCTTCCCACAATTAATCTAACACTTCATTCTTTCTATATTGCTTTGTTAGAAACCTGAAGGGACTCAACAGGGCTGACTTTGTCATTCATCCAAGCTTTCAAAGCATCACTGAGATGTAATTATGAAGAAGAATAAAGGGGACAACTTAACTCTCAGTGGGCTTTTGTTCACTCTGTGGAATCAGTTTCTTGTTTATATGTCACTGTGTTGTTTGATGCAACTGCCATGTTAACTCTGTATCTCATGTTATGACCCCTAACTTGTTTATATCTAACTGTGCTGTTTGACACAAGCGTTCTTGCTTGGCCAATCTAACTTTGAGTTTTTATGGCTACTTATTGAAGGGGTCAATGCCTAGAAATTATGAAACACATGAACAGATCCTTTCCTCATGGTCACTGCATTTCATGCATTCGGGGCTGATCTTAGGCTTAGTTTGGATGGAGGGAAGATGGGAAGAAAAATATGGAGAAAAAACTAGGAGAAAAGATTTTCAAAAATAGTAAATTTTTGGGATACTAAAACTTTTTGTTCTTCAAATTTATTTCAGTTATCAATTTGGTTCTTCAAGTTTTATTTTTATTGATTTGGTCTCTTATGTTTTATTAAATTATCACATTCCTTTAAGTTTTAAAACACACATTGACTTTTAAAATAACTTCATATGTAAACTGTATTGATGACTTAACTTGTATATATAGCTATGAGAATAAATTAACTTTCAAATTGATTTAATTTTTATCAATATAATTTCTTATACTGTGTGTTATGCTCTTATCTTTTAAAATTTCAAAATCTTATGTGTGGTATACTACTTTTAATCAACCTTTACCTTATTGTGTGAAGGTAGTGGATGATGAAAGGAGGTTAATTGCTAGACTTGCTTAGCTTGTAGCCTTGCTTTGTTAAGGTTCAATATTTTCATTCAATTTTTATTTCAAAATATGTTTTTTCCTATTTAAATAGTTATATTTTTTTCATTAATTTACATGGTTACCATCAATATTTTATGATTTATACTAATAAATTTTAATAATGTGGCTTTCGTTGTAAATAATAAAGATCAAATTGATAATTGAAGTAAATGTAAGGAATTAAATTGATAAAAATTAAATTTGAATGATTAAATTGATAATTAAAGCAATTTTGAGAGGATAAAAGTTAAGTTTTATCTAAATTTTTTTTTACTATTTTGAAGAATTTTCTTTCATAGTTTTCTATCTTCTTCTTCTTTTTTTTTTCTCCTATTCGAATGGGTTGATCATATCTGTTCAAAGTTCAAACAATCGGTTGCTCCATTTTGTGCGTACCCACTCCATCCCTCCTTTCTTTCTCATGATAATATCATTGTTACAACAGTACGCTTTAAGCTGTAAGATGCACTTTCTTGATGCTACCCATCAAAGAGAGGCAACTGGTTCAGTGAAGTTTGTATTTTCTTGTGGTGAAACAGAGCAGCATCGCAAGGAATTGAGTGCCAAGTAGATTGAGTCCCTAGTGCATTCAACATATACCACCATAATTTAGTTTAGCAGCAAATAATATATGAAAATCCAATGATCCGGTATGTAAAGATGCAACAAAAGCAGATAACATGCCAATCAAAGCAGAAATTTACAGTGGATGAACATATTTGTTTCTCTCGCAGACCTTTTATGCATTTATGCGCCACGAAGGTCTAATGTTGGCGCTGAAGGCCAGGGATGGAACTAGAAACAATGGGGGGGAAGGAGAAGGAAAGGAGGGGGGGGGGGGGGGAATGCAAAATCACATAACAGTGGGAAACAAAAATTAATTTTAACATTTTTTTACAAGTAAAAATCAAGTCAGTTGTGCAAAAATTTTGCCACATGGCTGGAATATTAACATAATGACATGAATAATAGATGCTTTCCTCATTTAAACAAGTAGATGGGAGATTGGTTATCAATACTTGTCTTGTAACAATTTAGTTAAAAAAAAAGTTTATTCATTGTTCATGAAAGCATCCCCGAAGCATTTTCTCCTTAAGGGGTAGTTTTTATTTTCTTAAATTAAAAGGTAAAAATATTCTGAAATTTTTTCACAAGAACTTATATGAAGTAGATCTTATTTTCTTAAATTAGAGGGTAACAGTGTCCTGAAATTTTTTTACAAAAAATATCTGATATTTTATTATTATTATTATTATTATTTTGAAGTAATGTTATTTCAAAGCTTTCAAAAGAGATATATTACTCAATTACTCAATGTTAATTTAGAGTGACTGTTACCGGCCAGCGAATTACACGTGTCGGCTATTCATTTGATGCAACGGTAATACACGTCAACTCAGATTCAGTCAATTCCCCACCCTCTCTCCTGCTACCGGGTCTCTTCTCATGCAATCGAGATTGGATGATGATTGATGAAGATGAGAGGCTGAAGTCGAAGGAGGAAGAGATGGAGAAGACGGGCAAACGTCTCTGGAAGATGACGATGACACCGACGCAACAGTCTCCCCTGCAGGTCGGCAGCCTCTATCGACGCAAACGACGTGATCGAGTTATCGAGATTATGACGACAACCACCGTACACGGCAGCCTCTCTACTTCACATCGGCGGCCAATCGAACAAGGAGGAAAATGCAGGTCCCACACAAGCTTCTTCATCAAACGAAAATGCCAGAAAATGCAGATCCCACACGCGCTTCACCATCCGGCGAACGAAGTGAAGAACGCAGAATCTGAGAACACCTCACTTGCTTCCTCCGGATTTCAAGAATTTCGTGAAGGAGCAGGTCGAATTTTGGGTTAGGTAGACGTTCTTTTCCAATTGTGGTTGCCCGATCGAGCAGCCTGTGGACAGTGTCGGGTTATCAATGAATCTCAAACTGAATTGGAGTAATTGATTTTACAGATATTGCTTATGAATCTCACATTGGTCGGATTCCCTGTTCTGGAAATTCAAACACTAAGAAGAAGACAAAGAAGCAGAAGAAGAAGATGGAGGTGCAGGAGAACATGGTTGATCCGATAAAAGCAGCCACAGGTACTGATACAGTTATTGACAAACCCTCTTTGCTCCGTCAATCATGCCCTCACTTGATTTCTGTTGCGTCTCCTTGGTGAAGTTATTTGGGGTGTTATATGCGTCTTTTACTAATTTATCTATGTTATATGTTTATGTTGGTATACCCGATTGGGTTCACGATATGCTAAGCTCCCAGATGATGAAACATGGGATTTGATAGCAGCAGTGGTCGAATTTCACAGTCAGGGAGTGAAGAGGCTGCAGAAGACGGAGGAGGAGGAGCAAGAGAACGGAAAGCTCGTGTGTCAAATGAATAGCACACACGTGTAATTCGCCGGTCAAGCAAATATTTGACAAACAACAGATTGTCTAAATTAACATTATGGTAGGACAATACTTCTCTGTTTTTTAAAATTTGAAATAATTTTATTTAAAAAAAATTAGAATACTAGATAGCTTGTTAAAAATTTTTAGGATATTTTTTCCTTTAGTCCTATTTCCTTTTGTGGATAAAATTATAGATGAATTAGATTTTGAGGATTAACTAGAATTAGTGCACATTTGTTTAAGGTTTAATTTTTTTTTCTTGAAAAAATTACTTTTTTTTAAAGTCTCTTTTTATAATTTTTTTGTTTGTTTAAAATTTTAAAAATAATCATAATTTAAAAAAATAACATATTTCTAGTTATTTTGGAAGAGGTACTTACTTTGAATAGATTTTAAAAATACAAAAGAGAATGCCATGAAAATATAGATAATACAGAAGGTATTATAAAATAACTAAATAATAAATTAATTTTATAAATAGAAATTCATGAAATGTAATAAAATATAAAAATAATTAAATAATAATATTGTTGTTATTATAACAAAATATAAAATGACACTTGTTTTTTATAAAATTTTTATAAAATAATTTTTTATAAAACTATATTAAAATTATTTATTTTTAATTTTAAAAAAATCAATCATTAAAAAAATGTCTTGCATAATTTAAAGAATACTTATAAAAAATTTACATATTATTCCTTAATGTGGTTTTAACAATTATACTCGGCAGCTGAATTTATCCACACTATCATACGGTATGGGCTAATTTCCCGCTAACTTGACCTATTATTTGTTTTGGATTTGGATCAAAGTAGTAAATTTGATTCAAATTTAAATCCCACTAATCCAAAGGTAACATTGTTTAATTTTAAAGAAAACTTTTTCATGCCACAGAACTGAAAACTTGAAAGTTTAGACTAGAGTTGACAATTTGTGCAGACTAGGCTCAATTTGAATTAGATTTATTCTAATTGGACTTAAAATATTCAAACATATAAAAAAGTTTATATAACCAAATTCGACCCTAACCCCTCGAGTTGGCCTAAATACCAACATTGTTAAATATTTTTTTTATTTTATTTAAAAAATTAATCTTTTCAATTTTTGTTTTATTTTAAACATATTTTATTAATAATAAAAAAGGAATTCGAGTATTCTGGCTAAGCCTATTCAAGTTTGGGCTTGGATCGGATTTCTTAACATTTATTCGAGTGACTCAAATAAGCTAAAGTAAAGAAGATTCTCTAAAACCCCTAAATGCTGCCCTAAATTTTTCAAATTTATTCAAGTTAGTCCAAATTACCGCCTTTAGTTGAGAATTTTGATCAGACTAGTTGCCACATGTAATCACAAATTGACTAAAAGGATCCGTTTTGAAGTAACACATGCATTTATATTCTATTCTTTTGTTTTGTTTTATTTTTGTTTTTTGTTTTTTGATAGCATGAGGAGTAAACTTCGTCAATAGCAGAGATTATCTCTCAAAGAGTAGACTTTTCCTAACTAAATTGCTACATGTACAAGGGTTGAGATTCAAACCTCCAACCACTTATTTAATTGATGAGAACCCTTATCACTCACTTCAACTTTAATTGATACATGCATTTATATTCTTTTTATTCTTATTAGGGATAGAGGTGAAACTTATTAAATTTAAGACATGGTTAATAAGGTTTAAAATTTTACTTAGTTTCAGTGAAATATGTTAAAAGTGACTTATAAATAAGATTTAAAGGAATATCAAAAAATCATTTTAAAAGGTTTCCTATATAATAGGGCCAGGAGATATAAAATACAAAACAATACAACAATTAAATGAGATCATACAGTACTTTTAACACTTGTAAATAGCTGCAACAGAAATATTTATTATGGCAGGATGTTATAAATCACATGCTAGTACTTAGCATAAATTAAACTACAATAACAAGAAACTTAAGGGATATAGACAACAAGGAGATTCATTGGCAAAATTAGCAGATATTATAGATTAAAACACTTGATCTAAATCCAAACCGAAGAAGAAGAAGAAGACAGCATCAATATCACACTAGAAGAGCGCTAAACCTTTCACATGATCACCTCAAGACTTTTTGACAGAGTCAATAATCTCTTCACAGTAGAAAACATCAATCTTGAAAGATTTTGCCAAAACCTCTTCATCAATCCCAGATCCAAACAATGAAATAGGCACAGAAACTGTTCCTGCATTTGCACTTCCAAAGGCAGAAATGGCAGTGGCATGAACAACATGAGGATTATACTGATAATGGATCAACCCCTTTGGAAATATGAACATATCTCCAGCTTCTAGGGTTTGTTTGTAGAGATTGAGTTTCGTATCAACGACACCAACTTGTAATGAACCATGGAGAAGGAACAGAAGCTCCGAGGCACGTGGGTGAGTGTGAGGAGGGTTGATGGTACCAGAAGGAAACTGAAATAGAGCATATGATATGCTTAGGCCATTAAGAGCTGGGAATTCAAGCATAGTGACTTTCGTTGTTTTGAATGAAGTTTGAGGATGGATCAATAATCCTCTCAGTCCTGTGTAAGTGAAGAAAGATCCATTGATTGTAGTGTTGTTATTTTGTGGGATTGTGAAATCTGAGATGATATCTGGATCACCTGCAAGAGAAATTTTGTTGTTGATCAAGAAAGCAAGTAGAGACAATGGCAAAAGAAGAGATATTGATGAGGACAAAGCCATCTTGTTAAAGTTACTTTAGTTGTGACCTTGTGATGCTTGTTTATGTACATATGGGAAATTTTTTTGTATCTTCATTTTTAATGGTTTTTTTTTTTTCAAATTCAGCCAGTTAATCAATAAAATGTAGTAATGGTCTACTTCATGATATATTTTTAAATTAAATTCAAGCCAAATCAAAGATATTTTTGACTGGTGGTGGGGCTGTACAAGGTGGTAAACATGATTTTTTAGGTCACAATTTCATTCACCAATAATTGTTGGATTTGACACTACTAAGTGATATCTGTAACAATGTTTTCAAAACCGAATCGAATATCAAATCGAAAAGGCTAACGGTTCACGATTCATATGAACTATCCTAGTCGAACTGATGATGTAATAATTAAATTAAAAGATTATATGTGTATATAATAATCTAAATGTAAGAAATAAATATGAAATCGTTACTTAATTTAAAAATAAAATTGAATATTTTAAATTTATCATAACTTAATAAGCCACGTGATACAAGATAATATCAAATGATTAAAAAAATTAGTCATTTTTTAAAAAAATTGATAAAAATAAAAAGAAAAAGAAAAATAAGTATTTTTTAAATAGTCTGATTTTTAAAAATAGGAACCGATTCCTAGTTTGACAACTGGTCCAAAGTTACTTAATCTGGCCCAATTCTCCAAACAATTTTTTCAGCTTGATCAAGCCGTTAGTCTGACTAATCAATGGTCTGATTGTCCGGTTTAATATGGTTTTTTAATCATTGATTTGGATTAATTAGAAAATACTTGGAATCCTTTAAACAAAATCTTTGAATTCAAGTCTTGTGAATAGGAAAATTAGAGAAATTCTACTCAATTAGAGTCTAACAATACAATTTTTTTTTCCAGCTAACGATACAAATTCATATTAGCATAATATCATAATTTGGGTAAATTTAAAGCATAAATGTTAGAAAACACAAACATTCTCTCTCACTCACTATTTTTATATATAATAAATTGTATAAGTTTAATTTCAAAACATCAGCGTTACCCTCTTATTGACGAATGAACATGAATGGAAGGGTGGTTGTGGACTTTTGATGGTAGATGGATTAACTGGAATAATTAATTTCAAGTTTATGACAAATATATATATATATATATATATGGTGAAATAAACAGAAAGTCTCTTGCTATATTCTCATAATCCCTTTTTCCCTTAATCTTAGTGAAGCCCAGTTATATATCTTCAAGCGGATTTCAAGTTTGTTTATATTCTGAATTTTATTGCTTATCTTCTGTTTGGGACACTAACGATATCTAAAAAGCCAATGCTATTGTGAGCTGGACACAACTTTGCAAGTTTGATTATTACAAGAGCTTTCTTTTCAAGGTTCAGTTCTTCCTTAATGATATAATTAAGAAAATGACATTTACTGATTTTCATCCACGGACCATGGAAATATCTTATCAAACAAAAGTGGCTTCATATTTTTCATTTTGAGTTACCACTACAAAACAAATTAAGTGGCTTGGGCACTATTATAATTTATAAATGTAATATGGAATTGTGAAAGAACATTTATTTATTTTCTAAGCAATGTGATATTCTTCAATAATGAATGAGAAATAATACAAGGAAGCTAAATTATAATTGAAGGGGAATGAAATTAAAGGACAAAAGATTGAATTAAATTTAAATAGGGACCAAATCTCTCATTCCATGATTTAAAACCATCAAAACAATAATTTATCAATGAAATTTGCTAATTTATAAAAGAAAAATTTGTTAAATATATAATCCCTTCTAGTGATTTATCAGTTATATGTCTTTACTTGCATTCTTTAAAAGGTTAATATACAATTTAAACTATGAACTATAGATTTATGAGTGATTTAAATTCTAAACTTTTAAAAGGTACATTTTAAACTCTAAACAATTAAAATTTAATAATTTCACCCCACCATTAAGTTTAAATGAACATTTGTCAAAATGAGGCCTAATGTGTGGTTTTTTTCAAACCAGGGTAGGAGAGAGAGGGAGAGTATAATTTAGTAAAAATCAGATGTCAAGCTTTACTTTTTAAAAAACTAACGAATGTTTGTTAAAATTTAACAATGAAGTGAAATTCTCCCAACTTTAATCGTTTAAGATTCAGAATATATCTTTTAAAATTTAAGAGTCAAATTTTCTTTGAATCTACAATTCAAGATTCAATTATATATTAACTTTTCTTTAAAATATGAATTTAAAAGTGAAATTTGTTAATTTGTGAAGGACAACCATTTTCCAATATTCACTTGTCATTTATCTCACTTCGCCACGGCATTAAAAACTCCCTTTATCCTTCATTAAGGTTTCCAATAATAGGGGCAAATGGGTATAATGGAGAAAAGTTGGAGGAGACAATTCCAATGAATAAAATGGACCAGATTAAAAATTGGGTGAAATTATGAAGGGTTATGAATTAATTTTCCCTTAAATAAAGAAAAATACACTTTTATAAATAAAATAAACAATTTAATCTTTTATCCATGAGCCAGCCAAATGCAAATTTTTTGCAGTCAAACTATCCTCAAATGGTGTCCTCGACAAGGTTGTGTTTTCAAGCACATTTGAATCACTGGTACTACTGGCCATGGCTTACCAAAAGCCAACGATGACATTAGATTCAGCCCGTTTGGTTTGCTTGATTCAAAAATTAAAACTTCATTTCTAGGATGTAGGAAGTTATTTTAGTAAAACATTTTACAAGAAAACACATCTTAAAAACTCATTTAAATAGTGATTGAAAGTAAATTTAAAAAACATAACTATTTAAAATTTTTAAAAAGTAAATTTAAAAAGTAGGATATTATTTAATCATACTACCTCAAGTTTAATCTCTCATTCTTTTATTTAAAAAATTTTATTTATTAAAATGCAATTATCATTTTAATAATAATAATTAGATATTAAGTTTTCAGCATTATAAATTTAATAATTAATCATATTAATTTTTAGCATTAATGTATAATAAAAATTACACATCTTTATCACATTTTCTAAAATTACAAATTAAAAGGTACAAATAATTAGAGATCAAGTTTTTAACATTATAGATCAAATTTTATGTTATTTAAAATCTTTATCATATTTTTTAAATATTTTAAATATATTACATTTGTATAATAAAAATTATAAATCATCATAAATTAATGTCCTTTTTTATAATTGTACATTTAAAAGTATATTTCATTATCATAATCCAAACAACTTTCATTATACTAAATTGACTTTTGAAAAAGTATATTCAAACACAAATTTTGTTACAACAACTGACTTTAACTAAACTAACTTTTGTCAAATAAATTTTTATCAAATAGAATTTTGATAAATTAAAAACTAAACACACTCAATTTTTAGGATTTTAGGAATTTTCTACACATAAATAAATATAGCAAAAATGTATAAAAAACAATTTTTTTTAAAAAAAAGCAAATAGCACACTAATATGTAGATCATGAATTTAAAAATCCTTTTAGATGAAGCAATGTCCCTCAAAGGACCCCCCACACGCTCTCAAACACTTCTAGAAGATCTTAAAAGTGTAAATTAAAAAAAGATAAAAATTGGAATGAATCCTACTCTCAAGGACCAAGGGTCTCTCCCTTTTTTTTTACTCCCTTTCCCTCCACTTTTCCCATCTCCATCTTTCAAATTTTTTTATTTAAAAATTCCCATCTCCATCATTCAAATTTTTTTATTAAATAATTTTTTAAATAAAAAAATTAATAAATGATGGAAATAAAAGAAATAAGAAAAATGGAGGAAAAGGAAGTGAAGACACCTCACTTCCCTACTTGTCAATGCTAGCATATAACGAGCACCTGCCACCCTGGCGGAATTGCTACATGCGCCACGCTATTGGACTCGTGTCACCGTCACAAGCCGAGTCTTGTTCATACTTCACCAATGGATGAGCGCATTGAGAACACGCCCAACACTAGAGAGTGAGATGAGTTTTGTTTTGTTAAAAAAAAAACAAAAAAAAATTAATAATTTGATTCTCATAATCTTAATTTAATTATAATTTAATATCTTAACTTTGACATATTATCATTTAATTCTTAAAATTTTGACTCAATTATAATTTAATTCTTAAATTTTGACTCTTACGATTCAGTTCCTACAATTTCAATCATTTAAATATTGATTCTTATATCTTAAAAAATAAAATAATAAAAATTAAAATTATGTTAAAATTTACTGCTAATATTTTATATTACTAAATCCTTTTAATCTTATAAATTGCAAAAGTTTTTAAATATTTTTAATATTTATAATTTTATTTTTTAAAATATAAGAATCAATATTTAAATGGTTAAAACTATAAGGATTGAATTGTAGGAGACAAAATTTAGGAATTAAATTAAAAATAAATTAAAATTATAAGAATTAAATTATAACGAGTCAAAATTTAAGAATTGAGTATAACTGAGTTAAAAGTATGGGGATTAAATGATTAATTTTTTTTTTAAAAATTGTTCACAAGGCTGGATTGACGCATACCCACCTTGTTTAATTTGATGGAGATCATGGAGCCACTAAAGAGAATTCCAAAATCAAAGCCTGCATTGCATGATCCATTACACTATTAAAAAAATGTTGTATATAATGCCTCAAACATAATCGCCATTGGAAAAACCATTGCATAATTGAAACAGGATTTGAGTTAAAATTAAATTACTATATAACAGTTATTCTAGGTAATTGTTATATAGTTCCAAGACTATATATAGTAGTTACTTGAAATAACCATTATTAATTTGAGTATTTTTATGTTTTAAATAGGGTATTTTTGTCTTTTTAATTTTATTTGGATTTAACTAAATATAAAAATAAATTTAGTTTGCCATTTGTCAAATATCATATTAATCGGTATCTAAATGGGATAGAGAACTCTGTCCCAAAAACTAGACATTGATGTGGGAGAATTAACCCATTTAAATATCCCATTAAGCATTACATATTGTTTAATGTAAAACTTGGTATTACATACTATAAAGTCTT